GAAATAAATATATAATAAACCAGAACATCCAAAACGCTTTAAAATACTTTAAATATTTTTCAGTTATTTTATAGTGCTTTCTGAGACAAACATCTGAGAGATATAAAAACCAAAAATAAATTGATCAAAGTGCAGAATAAATTGCCAGTGTGGTCGTTTTTTTTTTTTTTTTCTACCGGTGGAGATTACAGAAGTGAGAATTGCAACAACAACAAAAACATGGATCAAAAGTAAAATTTTCATTTTTGCATCTCCTTAAGAAAAAGAAAATGCTCGTATTATCATGCGAGTTCTGGTCATATAGTTTCTAGCCTTTGAAAGAGCTAATGAGTGCACATAAATCATCTAATTTTGTTACAGTAAAATCTGACGCTTATGAACAAAACCACTGGAATTCCAATATAATGTCATGAAATAATCCATTTATTTATGGAACCAAATATACCTTCACATCTAACACACATTTCCATTAACATTGCGCACAATAATAAACATTTTATTCCACTTTTTTTTTTCTTTTTTTTTCTTTACATTGACCGTTTTACATGTCGGGAGTGAAAAGCTGCGTTAATGTTAGTGTCTCACTCTCGGTTGGTTTCTCTCCTCTCCTCCCGCTGGACAGTGACATTTAAAGTACTGAGGTAGATTCAATTAATTCAACAACTAGAGTCTGCAGAGTTTACACCGGTGGAGAGCGCTTGGTTATGACCGCGGATTCAGAGTCAGAATAAAACTACAACGTGATGTTCTTTTAGTGCCGTCAAGTCAAAACGGAACTCAGAATTTAAATTAAGTTCAGGTTAAATTAGAAATTAAATAATCCTGATCAGTAAGAAGTTGCTGCGAAGCCGCTTTCTGATTGCTGTAATTTACAGGTGCGAGTAAAGAAAAGCGACAGTCAAACATTAAGTCTCTTAAACGATGAAAACAGTTTGTGATTGGTTAAACATTTTCAACAGTAAAGATTACGAATCAGTGAAAAAAAGTCTCAAATGTACTGCATTTCTTACCTTGTTATTATTACAATAATCGACAGACATAAAAACAAACAAAAAAAAAAAACTTAAAGCTTTGCGCACTCTTTGCTCTGATGGGAAATGACAAAAAAACATGGAAGGCCAGAGAACACGGACACAAATGTTTTTGGCAACATCTACTTTGACGTGAAGACCTAAAGAGAAACAGTTAAAAAGCAGAAATACCACAAATATCTCTATCATATTATTATTATTATTGTGGGGAACACAGTAATGAGCAGCGTTCCTGCAGCTCCTTCTTTCCGCGTTGCCCTTTGATTTTCTCCCTTTTATAGCGCATCACTGCGCATGCACAGCGGTGTATTCGGCCTTAGTCAGAGTGTGTGTGTGTGTGTGTGTTTTCTGAGGAGGTCACTGGTTGAGCTCCAGGGCCCAGACCTGCTGCGGCCACCCGGTCCGGCCCTTCACCTTCTTTTCGCCTCCAAAAGTCTCCTGCAGGCCGTCGGTCTGTGGGGGCAAAAACAGCGCCATCATCATCCACATCAACGTCATCAACATCAGCAGCTCCAACTGCAGCAGCGGCTGACTCATTTTAGAGCAGAACTTTCTCTGGGATCCATGTAAAGTCATTTGGACTATAGAGGAAAGACTACTTGCTCTCTGTCTGAAAGTTTCAGTGACTTCCAGCATCAGTTCAGGCCCACTTTGGGCCGAATCCATGGGCCACGGAACCCATAGACTTCAATTTTGAAAATATATCTGGACTCTGCTCCCTGATTAAATATTTGCTAAATTCGCACTGAAAATTCTATGCCACTTTCTATCTAAATAACGTAAAAAAACGTTTGTGGATTCGTAAAAATATTGTAGTTTATCAAATGATCAAACCAAACCCAGACTTCAGCGTCTGTTTTTTCTTAAATTTCGATAAAACTTAATTAAATTTAAACCATGTTTATTTTCACTACTATTAAGTGGATTAAATTCTTAACACCCGTTTTTTTTTTGTTTTTTTGTTTTTTTTTGTTGTTTTTTTTATAGAAATGGATAAGATAAAGTTGTTTTCCGTCTAAATGTACACTCATAAAAACGTAAACATTTTTATAGGACGAATGATTATAAAATACACTGGACTCTAACCGAGGAAAATTTTGTTTTTGTATAAACAAGTTGAAAGATACCGAAATAACGACGTCATTTGATCCCTTAATGTGGTTGAAAGATGGCTGGGGTTGGTTAAATGGGCTAACCAGGCTTAAGATGCTTTGTTTTGGCTAAATCTGGATTCAACCAATGGGCTAAAAGCACATTGTCACTGCTAAAGATTATGGAGTTCTGAAAGTGCCACAATTGAATAAACCATTAACATTGACTTGTTTAGTTTGTCTTTTAAAGTTTTAAGTATAACACATTGATTAATAGCACTTCTGAATTTGTTGTGCAATTGCAGAATGATAATGAACAAAATTAATTAATTAATTAATTAATTCATTCATTCATTCATTCATTCATTCATTCATTCATTCATTCATAAAATAATTACTTAAATGTGTCATCAGGTATTTAAAAATGACCAAACACACAAATTATTTATTATGTTTGTAAGTAATTAAATATGTCACTAATGAAAAAGTGGGCGGAGCCAATAATGTTATGCAGATCAGCATAATTGGCCTGAGCAAGACCTGATGAATATATTGGCCAGTTAGATGCTAAAAGATGCTTTATATCTGAATATCCATATATGTGGAGTTTGATATGGACAATGTAATTTATATTCAGCTACAATATGAATAGGATTTTTGGGGTGTGATAAATATTTCATAATATATATTAATTTTTCAATAGTGATTAAATACTCAGCTTAATTAAATTTTTGTAATAAATCCTACTCAAATATTAGATTAGAATTTCACTGAAGATGTTGGTCCTTTAACAAGTCAACTGTATCTGTCGTGTGTTAACATCAATAACTTCTGAGAACAGAAAGATGCCAGGTTTATATGGGCTTTAACAAATAAATCTACTGAATAAAAAAAAATATTAAGAGCAGTCATTGAGTTAGTGGTTGAGAAAGTTTCTTTGTTGTTTAAGTTTCTATCCAGCTTCAACAGCTTTAGCAGCTGCGCCAAAACTAAATCTGAACATCCTGGCTCTGAGAGAGTTGTTACTATGAATGACATTGTAGTTTTGATCATCACGTATGATGTTTTACTAGTTGTTTCAATAGATATAAGATGAAGAAAACAGAATATTTGTGAGAATGTAAGTATTTTAGTTAATTTGGAGTAAGGAGATGTTTAAAATGAGTTGGTTTTAATCAGTTAAAATGACATAACGTCTGAATTATTGAGTTAAATCTACCAAAATAAAATAGATATAAATAGTGAGACCAAATTTAATGATTAAATTATAGCATTTTGTTTTATCAGTGTTCTTCAGCTGCTCTTAACCTGTGTGCTTCTTCCAGCTGTGTGTTTGAAAGTTGCATATGTTCAGTTTTGTTTGCACGTTAAGTATTTTCCTGTTTACAGTTGATGCAGCTCATCTGGTTCTAAATAATGCAAATGAAGCTTTCCTCATCCCAGTCCCATTAATAATGTCACAGTCTGACTAATAATAGCAACTTTAAACAATATCTAATCAGGTTCTGTCAAGATAGTTTGCAGCCATAACATTTATGTGTTATGTAAAATAAAGTAAAGCTTACAAGCTGTACAGTTTATTTGTGGTTATTCAGGTTTTATTTAGCTAAACGTGAATCAGTAGAAGTAGATATTTATGAAGAACTCTGATGTTGATCCAGCTCATCATTTTTAGGAATTTGTTTAAAATAAGAATGTCACTGATGGAGTCGAACAATGAGATTAAGTTTTTTTTTTTTTTTTTTTTTAGTATGGTTATAAGTGGTAAAAAATTACTTTGACAGGTTTAAAATACACTGTACATATGTTTTTTATGTTCCCTTAAATTATAAGTATTTAAAAGTATAGCTTTTGAAATTACTTCTTACCGTTTTTAATTTAGATAAATTAATTCAGTGTCTCATAGTTTCTTTATGTTATTCGGAATTTTTCTGCGTAATTTCTAACAGTTAAAATCACAGACAAAACACTTTGAACGCAAAAAATGCTTCGTATTTCAGGAGATTTTCCAGTTTAGTCAGAGCGCTCTGTAAACATTTCCAGGCCTACAGATGTTTTCACTCTGACTCAGACTTACAGGCTGCGTAAATAAGTCACCGAATTACGGGGGAAAAATGCTTCGGATTGGGAATAATTTCCAAACTCATGACAATCCAGGAGGCTCCAGCAAATATAACTCACCAGCTCTCGTTTCCTTTTCAAATCCCGCGTTTCAAATTTCTTAATCTCGGCCTTAAAGCCCTCCGTCTCGCCGGAGTCTTTGGCCAGCACGTCCATCAGATACGCGATGTAACTGGTCGCCAGGCGCAGAGTTTTGATTTTGGACAGTTTGGTGTCTGCGGGAACGTTGGGAATACACTCCCGGAGCTCCGCGAAAGCCGTGTTGATGCTCTCCGTCCTGCGGCGCTCCTTCTTCGGCCCGGACGCCCTCCTCTTTCCCATCCCCGGCTGGAGCCCCTCGAGCCGGCCGTCGTGCGCAGCTCCATGCGCGCCCAGCTCCGCGGACGGCGTGTAGGGCGCCTGGATCTGGAAATCCGCGGGCACCTCCCCGTGGTTCACCACCCAGCTCTGGAAGTACGGCGCGTCCTGGTGGCACCGCTGGACGAACGGGAAAGGTTCGTGCATCAGGTGGTGGTGGTGGTGATGCTGGTAGCCCCCGATGAGGTTCATGCTGTGCCGAGAAGAAAATGTGCTCGTTCGCCTCCCCCCCCCTAAACCGTCTCTGCTCGGGGATCACCAGCGAGCAGAACTCATTCGAAATTTAGTCGAGGACTCTCCTAAATTCATTTACAAGCTTAAAACAACAGAGACTCGATTTATTTCACATGGTCCAAGATTCTTAAAAAGCTCAGCTTTAAAAAGTATTCCAGGGATGAAACGTCAGCGATGCGCCGCCGTCCCGATGAAACCTCTTTTCCCGAAGAGGACGCAGTGACCTGCAGGAGAAATTTGACCCAGCTGAAGGTGTGAGGCCCCAGGTTTATATGAGCTGGATGTGAGCGTGAGAAAGAGGCAACCAATGGAGGAAATGGGAGGAGAGTTTGGAGAGGTTTGGAAGAACATGGTGCCAGAATATCACGGCACCAGAACACAGGGACCAAAACATCTGCCTCACTGGCATCAGGTTTACATGTACAGGCATAAGTTTGATTCGTTGCTTTTTGTTTTTGTCATCGACGTTTTAATTCGGAGAGTTTTGTGATTCATCGCGCACAGAATTTTGCGGGCCATCCACATGGCTTGTAGATAGGTGCTAAAGGATGGCGGAGTTCTTTTTTTAATTTTTTATTTCTTTTCATACATAACAGATGTTTCCTCAAAATATTAAGTTCTTACTACAGTTTCTTCTTACAAGTTATTAGCAGAATGACTAATATTGGCATTTTTCTTTAAATGCAAGAATTTCTTTTCATGCATTGAGCTGATATTTCCAATATGAAGCAGCTTTACTTTGATTTCGAAACATGAAATAATTTTATGACAATAACCAATTTATTTATTTTTCAATTTATTTGTTTATTTAATTGATTTTTATATTAATTTATATATTTCTTAATTTGTTCGTTTGTTTATATATGTATATATTAAACTATATATTTATTTATTTCCATTCATTTCTTCACTTATTTTACCCAAGTCTTTGATGAATACTTTCACATTTAAAACGAACTTTGCCGTGTATGTTTTCACAAACCAACGTCTCTGGAGTCCATTTTACATGTATTAAAAAAAAAATCTTGAAATTTATGTTTCACATTATATCGCATGTGCTCAATTCAATGTACTTCAAAAATATATATTTTTTTCCTGTTTGTTTTTAGACCATGTTTCATATATTTGTTTCCTTATTTGACTACTTTCAGTAAAGGCGGAAACGTTTTGAAAGGCCACATAACGATCATTTCTTTAATCGAAATTCCTGATTGATCAATATTTTCCATGTTAAAATACCCGCTTTTATGTAGTCATAAAAATGTTGTTACAGCAGCGGTTATTATTATTATTATTATTTATCAATGCTATTTTTGAGCCTGACGCGGCCTGCGGCTTTATCTCGCCCCGGCTGCCCTCGCACCTTAAACACATCATCTTATCGCCATCGCCCCCCAAAAACATTATCCCATTACATTACGTGACCTTGACGCTATTTGGGAACCATTTACGGCGGCGTCTTATCTAAATACAGCCATAAATCAGGAGGTGTCACCCTGCTGCTGGGGCACAAGTAACTATTCCATAAAAGCTCTCCTGGCCTCTGCGCACTGTTTACAGCGCGCCCTGTTTTCGCATATTTTACCGTTCCAATAAATAATCCGCCCGTCCCCCTGTTGGAGAGGCCTGCACGGAGATCATCTCAGGTTTTTAATCTTTCAAATGCCAAAACGTTCGGCGTCTTCTTCTGCGTTTCTAACACCAAACCTGTAAACGTATGAAAGTCAGAATCAGTTCAATTAGCCCAGATCGAGTTCACAGACGAGGAATTTGACTTCGGAATTCCCCAGAACATACAGATTTTAAGAATAAATATATAAATTTGAAGGAGAAAAATAGAGAATAAAAGAAGTATAATTTAGAGTTTGCATAATTTCAGGCCTGAAGTAAAGCAGACCGGTCCAGTTCCCTAATCTAATCAGAAACCCTTAAAGGTGTTTTACAGTTGTTTGTATTTTCTTTTTTTCTTCTTTTTAATAAGAAAATGTCTCAGAATGAGATCGACATTAAAGGGGTTAAACATGCAGACACTATGCAATTCCCAAAAATGAAAAGTAAACAAAAAATATTACTTTATACATCTACAATTCACATTAAAGATTTTTTTCAACTTTTCTTTTATTCGATGCAGTTTTCAAGTTTTCCTTTATTTTTGCAAGTTTTAGCAACCCTTTTGTATACATTTCTGATTTTAAATAAAAACAATTATGCAGCTTGCTAAGCTAAAATGAACATGTGATGGGTTTTTTTGTTTTGATTTTTTTTTTATTTGATGCTTTTTTGAGTTGCATGAACCAAAACCTTGTGTTGCATCGTGGGTACACACCTGCATGACACACGTGCACACTTTAATGAAGACACCCCATCGTCTCCTGTCCGCTTTGCATGTTACCTTCACTGTCAGTGTGAAGAAGCCCATGCAGCCCCCAGAAAGCAAATCTGACACTGTTGATTAAGACGTCCACTATGCAGGGATGAAATATAACCCTGCCTTTATGCACCCAGCCCCCTCTTCATCTCTCTCCATCACTTTCTCTCTTTCTTTTCCTGCCTAAATTCTTCCTCTGTGTCCATCTCTGACTAGAGCCTTTCCTCTGTCTTGTTTTCTTCCCATTTCCTTACTATCAGTGCAGGTGCTGAAAGACCTGGGCAGCTGTAATAGGCTCTTCATGCTTTCTATGCTTTCAGGCCCAACATGCACCACTCGTCCCATGGCCTGCAGGCTGCTGCTCTGCCAGGGGAAACATCCAAAATAGGTCACAGAGAGCCATCTTGGCTCTGTTCTGGATTCTCCTCATAATTGTTTGTGTCATCGTGTGGATTTTTCAATAGACACTGCTTCCCCTCCTCTTCAGAGTGCTTACCCTCAAGTCCACATTTCCAAACAAATATTCTCCCTCTCTGATTCACGGTCGGCATGGAAAACGGTGCAAAGCTCCCTCGGTCTCGACTGCGTATCGTGCCGCGGCTCCTTAATATGTCCAACTCTGTTGTGCGTCGAAGCAAACCAGCAGAGCTGATTAAAACTTCAATACTTCAGTTGGACATGTTGCCTTCCTTCTAGTTTTGGGGAATGTTGGCAGACTGAGGATGGCATGGCATGGCAGCTGAGGTACAACCACAAGGGTTCAGAGGTTTCAAGGGTTCCTCAAAGATCCAGAAGTTAATGGAAGAGGAAATAAGAGTGACTGGAAAACAACTACGTTCAAAGGACGCACAAAAAACATCATATTTAAAATGCTCACAGTTTTTCTTAAATAAAAGATTGGCTGATGAAAGTAATCTTTTAGGCCTTCCTGAGACCACTTCAGTGTTGAAAACAGTAAAGTCACCACTGACTTTACTACTCTGTGAGGTGGAAACTCAGAAGCTTGGAAAATGTTGCAAAGCACAGCTGAACGGTTGTCATGGGAGATGAAAGTATTTCTCAAACATGTATGAAAGAATCAAGGCAATGCTCCAGGTATGTTTTTGAAGAGGGAATAACAATATGATGTACAGCTCAAAAAAGTTAATTTTTCATAATATTGCCCTTTTCACAGTGCACCTAATAGACATCAAGAATATCAAAAAATTAATAAATTGAGGTCAAAATTGTAAATACAGGGTCAAACATTTAACCAATGATTTGGTTAAACTTTCAGATGAAGCTCCAGCTGTGTCTTTGTGTCAACCATCTAACACAAAATGTTGGCCTGAAATGAAAGGAAGTTGATTAGCATTTAGGAACAATCCAGAAGTCACAAAGTTTCAGGAACAGGAACATTTGTGGAACTCCAGGTGTCTCTGTCCACAAAAAAGAATTTAAGCATCATGTCTGGAGAAAATTTGTTTGGTCAGATGAGGTAAAGATGGAATTACACACAAGATTTTCAAACAGTGATGAGTGACTTTCAAACCTAAGAACACTGCCAACTGTCAAGCATATAAGTGATAGTATTATGCTGTGGGTCTGGCTTGCTAGTTGTTGGGATGATCTTCTCAGAATTGCAAGTTTTTCTTTTTATTTTCCCAATGTATTTTGGCCAAACACTCCAACTTTAGTTCCACCAGACCTCATGACACGTCCTTGCAAGCGTTTGTAAACAGTAAATGCACGTAAATGTGTTTTTTTCATCTTTAGTGTGGCTTTTCAGCCCACAGTATGGAATGACACTCTCAGATCATCCAGCATCTCCTCAATATGGCTCCTTCAGGCATCTAGAAGTCGTATCCAAGAATGAACCAGACTTGATGAAATCTACAGCTCATTTCCTTAAATCTTGACTGATTTCTTCAGATTATTTTTGCTATGATGTCAAACAGGGACACTTCAGTTTCTTCCGTGAGCGTCAGTCCGGTGTGTGTTTAGACAAAATCCACAACATCTTAAATATCTTTCATATGAATCTTATTTGGATTTATTATAGTTCTATGTAAGTTTATGTACAGATTCACGTAGACAGAAATTGCAGCTCTGATTCTGGACTAGCAGATCTCCTGTTCACAGGAAATTCAGTCCAAGTCAGGATCATTCACAGACGTTCCCCAATCTCCAACCATCTGCTTACTTCCCTAATATCAACACTGATCAAACCCACCTCTGCACAGAAACTTCCACTGAGCCCCCGTTCACAACCAGGTGCTAAAACTAAGACTGCTTTGTAGAAATGTTTCTCATTTAACATAAAAAAAAAGAGTTTCGCAGCCTCCTTCTTATGTAATACTGATGACGGTGATATTATGTACTTAAATATTCCTCTTGACTTCTCACAGATGTGAGACATGGGACACTGAGACTCTATTGCTGTATGTAAACTTTTTACCCATCATTGCGTTTTATACTCTTTGGTTAACTGGCCTTCGTTGTCTACTCTTCCAGATTTAATAATTGGTTTTCTACCTCTGTGCCTTGCTTCATATGACAACATCTATAACCTCCACTTACAGATTTCTATTAGTGTTTCTACTTGGATAAAACTAAAACCTCAAGATGTGCAGATTAAATCAGCTGAAGGATTAAAGATATTTTAACAATAACAGAGAAAGATAACTGTTCCTGTTTTTATTGGTTTATTGACATTGTTTTATGTCAAACATTTTGTTATAACATATTGTTATCTAGTGTGTTTGTTTGAAAGGGGACCTGATGTCTCAATGAGCGCTTCCTACATACAAAAACAGAGCAAATAAAAAACTAACTAACCAGAACTGGTTGCATCATGCAGGTCCGGTGTCTCCTGTGCTGTCTGCCCATATCAGCTTCAGTCTGAAGAGTCGAGATAAAGTCCCTGCTGGAATCCTTCTCTGATCTGAATGAAGCTTTCGTGTCAGCGACTGAACTGAGTCATTCATACAAAAGTGAGACACACAAATACTTGTATATATGCCTTTTAGTGACATTTTGGAAAGTTGTTTTTTTTTTGTGGTAGATACGTAAAACTTTCTTCCCTGAGACAAATCTTGTGATGCTGCCCAAAAATTAAACTTAAGCATTCCAATCCCTCAACAGGTGAAGAGACTGGATATGTCCTGATGCAGTTTGAAATGTTTACAATTCTTATCTATATCCACTTTAAATTACAAGTCAAATAATAATTTGCTCCACTTTATTCTTTCTCCAAGGTTCTGCACTGGGTCCCTTATATTTTTTTTGATTGCATGGCATGTCTTCTGCATATTTTGATAACTTATTACTAATATGAAGACAGTTTTGGAAAGTCTTAGTCCTTTAGACCATAAGGAGTTTCTTGAGTAATGTCTTATGTTAGAAACCAATGTTTGTTAAGTGGTTTGTTCATGTTTTTATCATTTTTGAAACACTGTAAAGTCGAGCTCCATTGTGTGAATGTTAGAATGAGACAGTGGTATAAATAACTTTACTACCTGAAGACTTTGCTGTATTTGTGCAAAATTATTAACTTAATTTGCTAAGTTAATCCACTGTGTAGTTGAGTGGGAGATCCATGTTACAGCTTATCTAACTCTTTTACATTAATTTTATCATGGTTTGTTGTTTTAATATTATATTACTGACTTAAACTGTTAAGCTTTTATTGCTTATCTTTTAAACAGATCATTTATTTTTAGTACAAAACCTCAAAGATAACTCTTTGGCTATTGCTTTTGTGTTTGTTCTGTTTTAGATCTGTAATTTCTCCACGTCTCAATCTATTGTCTCTCCAGTGTCCGGCTAATGTTTATTCCCTTCCGTCATTTATCCATTGATAAGTGATTGTCGTCTCCACACGCGTCTGTTCGCTGGTCGTTTGCATTTCAGATCTCCAAAAACTCTCCTCTAAACTGGGGCAATTCTGCCCGTCCTCAGCCAATAAAGATAAGAGCAGGAGGGCTGGAATGTGGAGTAGGGAGGTGACAGTGATGAGCTGAAGGGACGCAAAACTTTCTGAAATGGCTTCTTCTTCTTTTTTAAGTAGGGCAATCTTTTAAACTTTGTAATTAGCTCATAATTACTTTTGCAAAAGAATAAAATGCCTTGGATAAGTTTTTATTAGAATGTAAAGTGACTTTTCCAATAGACTAAAACAAGACAAACTTCTTAGTTATGATTTCACAAAGCATCACTTTGTGGAACCGTGTTTCTAATATATTTTGCAACCACATTTGCACATCCACATTTGCTCAGGTTATAACAGGAAATAAGATCAGCTTCCATAACTATGCAGATGATACACAGCTCTACATTACAATGCCACCAGGTGACTCTGAACCCATCCAATCACTGAATAGATGCTTAGAATTGGTAAATGTGTGGATGTGCCAAAACTTTCTCCAACTGAACAGAAACAAAACTGAACTTATTATCTTTGGGCCTAAAGAGGAGTCAACTAGAATCAATGCACAGCTTCAGTTATTACAACTAAAACCAGCGATCAGGCCCGAAACCTGGGAGTAGTGATGGACTCTGACCTGAACCTTCAGAGCCACATAAAAACAGTTACAAAATCGGCCTTCTATCACTTGAAAAACATCTCCAGGATTAGAGGACTTATGTCTCAATGAGATCTACAGAAACTCATCCATGCATTTATCTTTAGTCGCATTGATTACTGCAACAGTGTCTTCACAGTTCTGTCCAACAAATCAGTTCTCCAGCTGGAACTGATCCAGATGCTGCTGCTCGCATTCTCACTAAAACTAGGAAGATAGAGCAAATAACCCCAGTTTTAAAGTCCCTACACTGGCTCCCTGTAGCTCAGAGAATAGACTTTAAAATACTGTTGTTAGTTTATAAATCAATGAACGGTTAAGCATCACAATATATTAAAGATCTGCTGTTGTTGTACCAACCGTCTAGACCCAGTTGTGGATCCACTGTTCTTATGAAATTATTCTTAAAACATGGGTTTTAAAATAATTAAAACTTTGCTTTCAAAAATATGCTTGTTCCATAATCTAAAATACATTAATGTGACAAAATATGATGAAGTTCATTGTATATGAATATTTTTGCAAGACCATGTAGATTGTCATTTACAATCTGAAGCTATAAATATTACTCTTCTGTTTCATACATAAACAGATATCAATACTACAACAATATGTCAGAACAGTTAGGTAATCTTAGAATACAATATGCAATGAAATACAAATGAACATTATGCAAAGTCGTCTTTGTTCATGATTGCTGTTTTTCCTTTACAAATCCTTATCTAAAACCTCTGAAATAAAAAGTGTTTTTTATCTTTTCACTTTATGACCCTCCTCTGTGCTGGCAGACCACCGGCTGGACGGACTCTGTTGCTTTGACTGCAGTAGATTTAACAGAGAGGGGGCTGCTCTGTGTCAGGCGACCCCAAAGGGTTTCAGCAGGCCTGACAGTCAAAACACGAGCAAAAAAGGTTTGACCCTGACAAATCCCGAGGTGGAGACGGGTTCAGGGACCCACTTTTCTGAAATCCATCCGAGTCGCTCCAGTTTTCCGGTCAGACCGAAAATGAAACATGATTTCGTGAGGTTGAAATTGTTTGTCTCGTGTAATATATGCACCACGCAAGCCGAAGATCTGATTTCTTAATTATGTTTTGTTATTTTGTCCATTTACACCGTACTTCTGGACTACTTTTGATTTCATAAAATCAACAAATTCACAAAAAATCTGAGGAAATAAATGCTTGACATATTGCGTAGGGTAACACTCCAGTTGTATTGGGGTCATTGTGCCTGTGAGCCTAATTGCCCCACAGGCTCCTAATGGTGAAGGCAGCTAGTTAAAGTCCCTGCTTGTCCATTCATACCCTCCGCCTCACTCTCCTGCTCATTAAAACAGCGAATAGGCCACAGATGTCGAGTCAGCCATTAGTTTCTACCTGGAAGGGGGCTTTGGGTGGGAGAGGTGACATTAAGGAAGTTAAACATCAGGCCAAGAGCTTCGTTTCCTCTGTTGAGGCCACCCAGGATAGAAATGTCTGGGTCTGACGTGAGGCTGGGCTTTTTTTAAGGTAGTACAAGCTGAAGGTTGAGAAACATTGTCTTCAAACAGGACGATGTTTGTTTTGGTTTTTTTTAGTTTTATAATCTGAAGATTCTGCTGGTTTTGTTTTTACAGTCAATAAACAAGCAAATCATTCAAACCTTTTGAAGACATTTATCTCTGCTCAGCAAAAAGATGGAAAATCATTGAATTTCCAAATTATTAGGAATTCTTGGTAAGTTTGGTGAACCAGTTTTGTGTTAATTAGATCATATGTTCAGATCAGTGAAGAGGAGATGCTTTTCCACACATTCATGCTATTATTTGAAGCTAAATCCACCTTTGACGCATATGACCAAAGGACAGTTCCAGTTAAAGACCCAGTAGAGTTTTAGCAATACCACAAGTTTGCTTTTGTGGTAGTAGAACAGAAAAGGCTTTTTCATGTCTCCAAGGCAACCAGCTGTTACAGACAGGCTAATATGGCGACCTTAAGATTCTGACTTTTCACCACTCTTCTTGAACAACTTTGGAGACAGTTTAATTATCGCTCCAACTGTATTTATGAAAAGTTTTTTTGTTTCTTTTTTCTGGATAACGGACTCTTAACTGAAATTATTTTAAAAATTTGTTCAAATGTTATTGCTTTTTTATTACTTTAGGTTTAAATTTTTGTCTGTTTATTCTCAGCTACACCAAGTCTTTTCTTTTTTCATCTCTTGTACTTGCTGATGGAACAATTAGCTCTTTCAGGAAGATCTTGAATTTTAACCTCTGATCAAAGTTTGTTCTGGAACAACATGTCCAAAAATTCAAGCATGCATACTTTTCATATTCACAGACCTTCTTTGAAAAACACTGACTTCCTTCTACAAATTGTCTGCTAATGACCATTTAATTACTCATGTGTAATCTTGGTAATTTAGAGTTCAGTAAACAGTACTCTAAGTCTACGAACACCAGGGGTTTACCTTCTGTGATTAAAGATGGTGTCCATCTCAAGTATTTGTGCAACTTGTATGTTTGGGGAACAAATTCAGAGAACCCAGAAGAATCACATTCCGAGTTTGATTCATGTAAGCAGATCATTTTGACCCCACAACACAAAAAGTATCCCCTTTTTACTAAGCTTTAATTAATCCACTAAGTACAATGACTTTTTGAAGAATACAATTTATTTATGAGTTGCAGCAACATTTAATTTCCCTCTGGAATCAGCAAAGTATTTTTTAATTAAATTGAATTAAAAGAAAACGTAAAACCAAATTTTCCTTACTCTATAAGTTATTGTCCCAGCTTAACTAGTTGCTGAATTCTTGAGTGTTTCCCTAGAAGAAAATATATAAGATACAATGAGGATCTTAATCTATAAAAGGCAAACACCTTCTATGTTTTTAGGCTAACAGCATATCTAATAAAACTGATCTTTAAGTTGGTATATGCTGTTGTTTAACTGCAACTCTCCTTTGATTCCAGTGCCGCTTGGACAGATTTCACTCGGTTTACCTCCTATCTATAAAGATCCTTAAATAGCTGCTAAGCTCTGAGTCCCAGCTAGCATCAGGCCTCATGATAGTGTCAGATCGCCTTGTGGAATGCAACGACAAGCTCTCACTCTCAGATTGGATGCTTATCACGTCAGCGTGAGCTCTGATTGGATGCTTATAAAAAAAAGCTTGTTGTTGAGTGCCAGAATGACCTTTACAGTATCAGGCGTGGGAATGCCATGCAGTGACTGGACTTTCCCTGATGTTCTTTAACACCTTTAGGGTTAATCTCCAGACCCTTAAACAGAGCCTGTTTTGTGACGTCATTAAGAATGTTTATGTCGCCATGATAGACTGTGAACACCTGATGTGTAGTCTGTACAGTTGTAGCTTCAAATATAGTTTTTATTCTTCAGCAAATGTAGCTCCCAGAGTCTTCTACAAAACTTTCTTGATACTTGTAACCTTTGTTAGGACATTTTAGGCATTAATATGCAAGTGAATGTTTGATTCCATGTCGGTAAAGCCTGGACAAGCTGCAGTTACACTTGATGGAAGAAAATTAGCTCAATTTTCTGTCATTCCTACACTGAGGAGTTTTCAGGCTTATCATATCTGGAGTTCTGCAGCCATGTAACATATAAACTGTTGTGTTACAAAGCAGAGGAACAATAAAGTTGCCAGATCCAGTGTTGTGCAAGATCACCATCAATAGAAAAAAGTTTTGAGTTAAAGTTTGAACTAAACCCACATTCTCTAAAATAATTAGTCCAACTACTGGAACGATGAGCACTATAGCAATTTTTCTACATTAGTACCTATGATCTGCAATACCAGTGGCCTCCACAATGAATGGGACCCCTGTGAAAAATGCTATTAAATATATAAGTCTTCATAAAAAGCAGGCACTGCCAAGGAAAGTATTACTTGCACCAACCGTCAAGAACTAAACATTAACAATAATTCCACTACACCAACATGAAAACAATGAAAGGCTGCAAAGTCACAAAATGCCATGTTTCAACACATTCTTTATCTTTCCCACTTTATCTTCTTGTTGACGTGGTAAGCTACTAGCAGGCCTTCAGCTAACCACCATTAGCTTGTTGCGTCGATCAATCATGTCTTGTCTTCACCTCAATTTTTAATTTTTATTTTTTTATTTGCTTTATTCCACTGAAAGTTTACAAAACAGCCAAGTAAATTAGCAGTATAGAATTTATCCTGAAAATTAATTGAGGGGAAGCTAAGCTCACTAAATGTTAGCAAAAACACTAAATATTAGCTCTGCTACTGGTAGATTAGACCACTGGTCTTTATTGTGGCAGAGTCACAAACTCACACAGAAATAATGTTAACATGGTTATCTTTAGTTAGGAGATTGTTGTTAAGAAATGAAATTGCCACACAAATGTATTTTGAGAATTTTACACATTTTATAACAGTGTTGCATAAGAATAGAGAAAAGCAGTAAAATGTGTTGCAAAAATGAAGATATAACTGTCTGGACAGAAAGGAAATCAAACAAAACATGTCAGTGTCTTAAAATAATTAAGAACGCTTTTTGATTATTGTAGTGGATAAATATCAATTAGCTGAGTTTCATAAACTTATTGAGTTCTAAAAATAATATCAGAAGCAAACTATGAGAGTCAGCCCTGAATTCTGCTGATGATGCTGTTTTGTTTTGGATGTAAAACTGGGCATAAGCTTATTAACTTAGTACCTAAACAGAAAGTATCACAGTTTTAATTTTACAGTGTTGCTAACTCAGTCAAAATCCTGCTAAAATGAACTCTAATTTTATATTCCAACTTCCTTCAAATGAGAAAATGAAGTTTTTATAAGAAAGTTGAGTCTGTTTTACCATCAGTTACAAAAGAAAACATTTTAAAAACTAATCAGGGTAAAGGTAATTATTGCTACTATGAATTACACTGCAGACAGAAATGACCTGTGAATTGCATAGCTGGGACATAAATCTGGTCATAAGTGCTTTGTGGCTGCCCAGGTCAGTCCTCCTGTGGGAAACGGGAGATGAGAGGCTCCAGGTCAATCTGGGCTAAGCCCTGCTGGTGCCAGTGGAACCCCAGTTTTCCCTGAAAGACCCTGAAACTACATTGACATCACACCCGGGTCAAAGAAGGCCTAAGAAAATGGCTATTTGTGTCACAGAAGAGGTACAGCCCAAGTTAAATTGATGTCATCATGGACTTCTTTGGTACAAACAAAACAGAAACATATATTTTAAAGGGCAATCAAATACTTAGTGATGAAGTTATGTTTCAGAAAAAAAATTGCTCAAGTCCAAAATGAGATAAACTGTTTACTCTGACAAGAAACAGTGACAATCAGAACATTTTCATTGGACATTTTAAAGAAAAGTCATTGAAGATATTTCAAAAATCATCAAAATAAAACATGGAGTAACTTTTCTACATCAAATAAAAGTGATGAAGTATTAGAAGAACATGGGCGGAAGTGCTATTTATTACTAAGATTCAAACAATCAGAAATACTGAAAAGCTCTGATTATTTTTATTAATCTTACTGCTGAAAGAATAGATCAATGTTTGCTTCACAGGAGCAGAAACTAAAATCAAAGGAAATGTGACAAACTGATCAGTTTTAAATAAGGCCTGTGTCTCACCTGCAGTTCAGCTGTATTAGCTCAATGTCCATTCAGTTTTAGCTATTTTAAATTAGTTTGTCTTTGAAACTTACTGGTCAACCTTCTTATTCACAACATTCAAATTACAGCAAAATGCAACCTCTCTTAGTTTTTGGACAGAAAATGCCCATTAGGTTTTTCATTCAGTTCTTTGTTGGATAATGTAAGAAGAAAGTTCAAGTTCTGCCGGGAAAAGGTTTAATTATCTAGCTTTTGCAGTGATCGCTGTGAAGCCACATATTCTTTCAGCAATTTCCAAATAAGCAAGTTTAAAAATGTCTGAAAACATCTCCATCTTCCATATCTGTATATTGGATCCCTTAGACTCACCTGTAAAGCCCTAAATGGTTTCACCCTTCCATATTTGTAAGACATAGTGACCCTATTTGTACCCTCCAAATTACCAAGGTCCAAGTAGTTCCTCCTCACTGTCCTCAGGTCAGAGCTGGTCATCTATCTTGTGTCAAAGCCTTTCAGGGAATTATCTTCTCATTACTGCTGGGTGTGTGCAGTCCCAGTTACAGGTTTAAATTCACACATCATGGCTGCTATTAAACAGTTGGATTACATTTCAAAGAACTTTAATGAATTACAAAACTAAATGTGATGAATTTATGCTGGATTTTCTCTAATATATACATGTAATGCACAGGTTTATATGCAGGTTTTTAAGTTTAGTTTGCTGAGAATCAACACACTTTCTGTAACCATTAGTAAGCTACACTATGAGGCATAATTCTGTCTGGACAGTTCACTCTTCTGAGCTGAATTGATGGGGTCATTTAAATTGACCAATGTCCCTGTATAAACCTGTTTTTGAAGCCTAGTCAAAATTTTTATTGATTTGGGCTTTAACTCTAACTATAGACGGTTTTGATGTGTTTTGTGTCCAATTTTTAACCTGTTGTTCACAGGTTGTCATTCACAATGACAGGGGTGTCAAACTCCAGTCCTCTGCTGTCCTGCAGTGTTTAGATGTGCCACAGGTAAAAAACTGTGGAATGAAATAGCTTAATTACCTCCTCCCTGTGTAGATCGGTTCTCCTGAGCCTTGCTAATGACCTAATTATTCTTTTCAGGTGTGGTGCAGCAGAGGCACATCTAAAAGTTGCAGGACAGAGGCCCTTGAGGACTGGAGTTTGACACCCCTGTCACGAGAGGACCCAAATTTGGGTCCTCTCGTGAATGACAGGTTAAGTGTCTATCATCTGCACCACTGACAGTGAAATAATATGATATAATGTGATGACAGTTATTACAGTGTTCTACGCTTTGAAAATCTTCCTATGACACTTTCAGTTCATGTTTGGTCCTTGTGACCAAACAGCTATATCTTTGTTTTGTCTGAACAGTCATTAGCTACGTTTCCATTAAACATTTTTATTTGATGTGTTTATTTAAGGATCTGCATTAGTTTCTATCATAGTAGAGACTATTCTCCCCGGGGTCTACAGCAAGCATTACAATAAAAAGCCTTTACAAACATTACACAAAATACATAAAGGTGTTCCTTAACCCTCCTGTTGTCCTCGGGTCAAAATGACCCGAGGACAACAGGAGGGTTAAGACACAAACAAAAATAAATTAAACACAAAATTCAAATCAACTGCTTCAACAACTTGCAAACATTATGAAAAGACATGACAAAATTACACACAAACTATTTCAATCAGAACTAAATTAAAAACAAACAAAAAAATAAATGCAACAAACAATGACAATCTTTAAATATAAATTTAAACTTTTCCTTACGCTAATGAAAACATCATTTCACATTTGCAGTGTTTCCAGTAAATAAGAAACACAATTCAAATCACACTTGAATCAGTTTGCTCATACAATAAAAGTGTGGCTCCATGATCATCTACTTCCTGTCCTCTACCTCTTCATGGTTTGTGGCAGTGGAAACAGCTGGTTGTTGATCATGTGACTCATGGCAGCCAATAGTCTTTATTGGCATTGCATCAATATATTTCAGCTAACTGTTAGCCTGCTTTTCAGCACAAAAAATGTATGGTTATCAGTTTGATTAAAGGAAAACAATCTAATTCAAATAAAATCAATTAGTTCTACCAGGAAGGGTGTTGAAAATCATTCAAGAAATCTACTTTTAGCTAGAAAATTGTTTTGTCTCTGTAACTGTAAATTTACCAAAATAACAATGCCCATATATTTATGCATCTATATATGAACCTGACTCTTTGTAGTGTAGAAAGAATCCACAGTAAATTCCAGTGTGCCCCCAGATTATTGTTTTTAAAAATCATTGCAGTTGTTTGTTGTATAATTATTCTAACACTTCAAATGCATCAAAAAAGATCCAGATTAAAATGAATTTCAGATTGGTACTTTTCTTTTTAAAGTATGGTTCTTTACAACTTGAAAAAGACAACAATAACTTCAAAGAGAGTGAAAATGTACAAATGACAACCACAAAGATATGTAAAGCAAGCAGAGGAAGACAAGAAGTACAAAAATGTAATACTAAAAGCTTTGAATTTGACATTAAATGACCACAAAGAGACATAAAACCATCAAATAGAGACTACAAGAAGATGCAAAATGAGCACAAACAAACATGAAACGGGAAAACTATAAAACCCAGAGATAAATGAAGGGTCGTGTTTGTCACAGTGATAATCAAATCAGTTTTTTTCCCTGTCAGATGTGTAGCTTACAAGGAATGATATGACTTTATGTGATGAGTCAACATTGAATTAAACTTTTATATAAACCTGTTGCAGTGATAGATTTCCTGATTGAGCCTGAAGGACCAAACATGACTCAGTCTGGTCAAACAGAACTGCATGCTGGGTTTTTGGGAGCTCGGCTTGAGGCGCGATTCAGCTGCGCTCTTTACCATTTTCCCATTCCCCGGCTTTTCCGTGTCGACTTCGCTCGGCAGGTTCGTTCCTGAGGAAAAACAGACGCCTGTTCTGCCGCCATCGCTTCCCCTCCTCCTCCTGGGCCGGCTTTCTCTTCCCCCCCCACCCCCCACCCCTTACCCCTTGGGCTTTTTTTTATGGCAGGGCTTGTAACATATGACCTCTGCCATGCATTAGACTACATGTACACAACCAAACATTATAAAATAAAACAAGGTCACACTGATAAAACACACGAACAAGTTTGGGATGTATATGCTGTTACTCAGACCTTTCTGTGAAATCAGTCCAGCTCTTGAAACCCTTCCAGTTTTTACCAGCGATAACAGCATTTTGATTTATCCCCTGTGAAACACATCTGTACCCTAATCCGATCAAACAGCACAGCCGCAGAGAGTAAGAAATCATTTTTGCCTCGTGCAGACTTTCGTTGGGCTCCATTCTGATTCTGCTTGTGCTTTTTCGTCTGCGTGACCTCCTCTGTGCATCGTCGGGCTCGCTTTGGCATTATGCATAATGACAAGCTGTAATTTGGAGTACACATTTACCTCATTTGCATGAGAAGCGCTTGCTGCTGAGCTGAAACGCATTAAAGCAATGGTTATTCCCAATCTAAATATTGGAGGCAAAATTATGAACGCTGCTGGGAAGTGAGGGAGCAGCTCATTACGGCGGAGCAGCTTCTTGTTAAGTTGCGGCGTCCACCGTCTCTCTGTGCGCCACTCCCAGGTGAGTGACGTCAGTGTTTTGTTCCAGCTGCCATTTTGAATCCTAAGAAGTTCCATCAATGAAACCACCAACGTGACAACGGATGACTCTCCATTTGAATGAGAAAATGACTACATCCATAACAAGATCCCTGGTTTCAAAACTGAACACAGAAACATGAGAACTTAAGCAGCAATCTGTGTATTATAGATATTTGCTGTTTTGTCTTGCAAATTTATTGAAATTCATTCAACCTTTTCAAATTTTGTCACTTTACAACCTCAAACTTAAGATTTTGTTTGACAGACCAACACATACTGGTCTATAATTGTGAAATTGAAAGATTTATAGTTGGAGTTTAAAAATACAGATCTAAGCAGGGGTGTGTCTCCATCAACTTTGCACATCTTTGGCTCATTCTTATTTGCAAAATCATTCAAGCTCACTTGGACTGGTTGAAGACTTTTTTTAAGTCGCAGCTGCCCAACGTTATGAAGGTCTGGACCTTTTACTGGACCACCATAACAAATGAATAAACTGTGAACTGAACCGTTGCAGCTCTTTCTTGCTTTATGCTTGGGATTGTCCTGGTGGAAGTTATATTTTCGTCACAGTCTCAAGTATTTTAAGCCTCCAGCAGGTTTTCTTATTGTATTGCTGTGTGTTTTACAGTCTCCACAGAAAAAGCATTTCCCACAGTAGAATGCTGCCACCGCCATGCATCATTGTGTATGGTGTATTCATTGTGATATGCAGTGCTAGTTTCCATCGCACACCGTGATGTGAATTAAAGTCAAAACTAATTTTAGCAAAATAAGCTTAAGTTTGTGCTACCTAGTGTTGGTCAGTCACAAAAATCCCAATAAAATATGTTAAGGTTTGTATTTGGAATATGGAAAAATGTCAGTTTCTCCAGTTAGTCCATCCATCATTTGTAAATTTTGCAATTTTCACCAATCATCGTAACTTTTCCACAAATCTGGCTAGACACCTTAAAATTTTCTATATTTTCTTTTTCTCTGACCAATCGCTGCAACTCGGCTGAATTTTGACCAATCGCCTTAGCCCCCTTGAGACTTAATTTCCTGTTTCTTATTTACTGAAATTTGTATAAAAGGTGATATTTGAAGAAGGTGCTTGAAAATGTTATTTGCATGAACAATATTAATGTTAAAATTGTGCCTCTTTTTGGTTAAGGTTATGTGCTTTTATGTAAGACTTATGTTATCCCAAAAAGAAGGCATATAAAAATTCACAACTTTGACTGTAACCTTTTGAAAAACATTCTGCAAAATCAATTATTTTGCTGCTTAGGTAGTTAGTCACAAAGATGATTTGGATTGTTGAAAGATGGAAAGCAGTTTTGACTTTTGCAAAACATGCAAAAACTGTGAAAAAAAATCTCAGAAAACAGTTTAAAGAGGACATAACTTACAAGTAACTTTACAGTAAGAAGTAGGAACTTGTTTTAAGTTAATAATCCCTTAATACTGATGAAAAAGTTCTAGTTCCACTGCCAGATTACTTTTTCCCTAAAGTGAAATTATCTGAAAATGGAACTAGCACTTTTCTATCAATAGTTAGGAATTACTGACTTAACCTAAATCCTGCTGAAATGTTACTTCTAAGTTTTGTCTTATTTCAAGTGTACTAATATATTTGAACTTTAAACTAGACAAAAGTATTTAGTAATGTTATGTGCTTTACAGTGTAACAACCTTTCGTTTTAGCTGACAAAATGTATGCGCAAATAAAATGATGGTAGGCTTGTCAGAATCATGTGACAAGAATGAACAATAAAGCCCAACTTAAAGAGAAATGAGCGTCTAAATCTTAAAGCCTGGTCTCCAAGTTTAACCTCAGATTCCATCTGAAAGTGGAAGTCAAAGTAAAAAACAAGATCATAAATGCCCCGTCTTAATTCAGGCATAAACAACTTCTCTGACGCATATTTTTATTCTTCTAATGTGAATCAACAGCCTGCAGGAGGTTCTTGACTACACTCTGACGTAAATTTCTCTGGGCCTCAGTTAGCCTGAAGTGAACAAGGACTGAAAGTTTGATTACATCTCTAATTGAATCCCTTCCCTGGTTCTGACATGAATAATCCAACACACAACAGATAGTTTGACTGAAAGAGCTGCTGTTAGGATGTGCAGACATTTCTAATCTACAGTAGTCTGCTACACTTTAGAAACTAAACCCAGCTTTTACCCTCTTCTTTCAACATCAACGAGAGAAATTTATGTTCTATCTCCAGGACAACACTTTTAAAGTATAAAAAAAAATATTCTATTGCCTTAGCTCACTTTGGCTAGAAGGCCTAAGCAACCTTGTCTGTGTGCCTGGCATCATGAAGACAATTTTTGGATCAGGATATTGATCCAAAACTCACGGATTAATAAACAGAGAGATGGTTCACCAGATACAAAATCTCCTTTTAAAATGAAGACTAAGTGTTATCCATCAATCTGAAAGTTGATCCAGTCTATTTGTATCGCACTTTTCAGCAACAGGGCAGTTCAAAGTGCTTTACATTGTGAAAACATGAAAAAGAGATAGGAATCCTTTTGTGTCCTATTCACAAAAGGTGAATGCATAGTTGTGTATAAATATAGTCAAATTAATGGTTTAACTTAAAATATTTCTAAGAATCATTTGGCTGCACTGCAAAATTGGCAGATTTTTTCCACTTATGCTGAGACATTTTTTCCATATTATAAGTTTAAAAATAAGGAATTATTAACTTAAAACAATGTGATATATGTTGCTGAAAAGTTACTTTTAAATTATTACTGTGGACAAAGATATTTGTACTAGAAATAAAATTTTTGTTTTTGTGGCGTGTGGAACGACAGGGTACCAGTGAATGTGGAGGCTGCTGTATATTTGAAGAAAACATAAGCACTGACTTGATCTGCATTTATAAATGTATGAAAATAGTCTAGAGGTATAATAACATAATGGTATATGTCTGCCACCCAGACCAGAGTGCCCTTGCACGCCCCTCTGCAGCCCTGTTGTTCTCATGAAGGCCAAAGCTCCCGAGGCCCCCGACAGACGTCTAATTGGAAGCGTCTGGCGTTGCGTGTCAGCCTACGACCTCAGTGCTTCTGTCTACACATACAGAGAGATTCCGACCTGTACACACACTTAAAGTCGAGTCACAGTATATCATGACCCCCACGCCACAGGTTTGGTTTTACACTGATCTATTGGCTGCGAGAGACCGTGGGAGAGGGGAGTGGATGCCTGTCTGCCCACAGGTCTCATCTACATGTGGTTTTAAAGGGAAAGACCAAGAAAAAATGGTACAAAACCTTAGACATAAGAATTATGTTAGCTTGACATGAATGGCATCAGGATGCACGGAAACACTGGAGAAAGCAAAGGCAGGAGCTGCACATGGACTTTCATCCACTTGTTTATTTTTAGTCGCATTGATAACTGTAGCAGTGTTTTTACAGGCCTATAAAAAAAAAAAAATCAATCATAAAGCAGCAGCTGATCCAGAATGCTGCTGCTCACATTCTCACTAAAACCAGGAAGTTAGAGTTCATCAACCTGGTTCTAAAGTCAGTACATTGGCTCCCTAAAGTCCTTCCACCGGCTTTCAAATACTGTTGCTAGTTTACAAATCACTGAACAGTTCAGCATCACAATACGTTAAATATCTGCTGTTGTTGTATCATCTCAGGTCTTCTGGTTATGGTCTGCTCTGCATTCCCAGAACCAAACATAGAGAAGCAGCATTCAACTTCTATACACCACAGATCTGGAATAACCTTCCAGAAAACTGAAAAACAGCCGAAACACTGTGTTCCTTTAAATCGAAGCTAAAGGTCCACGTGTGGAGTTGCTTGTGAACCATATTAAATGGAACATAGACCAACTTATTGGATGTATTGATGATTTTAATCATGACATTTGACAAAATGCAATGTCTATAACTTTTTTTTCACAATTGGTGATTGATATGTTTATGATGTTTTTTTGTTTTCATGAAGCACTCTGAACTGCTGAAATGTACCATGCAAATAAACTTGATTGATTGATTGATTGATTGATTGATTGATTGATTGATTGATTGATTGATTGATTGACTGATTAACTGATTGATTGATTGATTGATTGATTGAACACATTAAACATATCAAGAATTAAATGATACTTCAGTAACAAATATTAGCAAATCTTAAAAGTTTCAGCTAAAATAGTCGACAATTAAAAAACATACTTTTCTGATGATGTACAGCATGGAAGACTAAAATAAAACATGGAACTAACACCTGCTGATTTTAGTTTCAGTAAAAGATGAACATGCTTCTTGAGCAGAATGTTATCGTTTCTTGTCATTTTCTCTTTATGTATAGATAATGTGAGTAAAACAAGCAAAGTGGGGCTTTGGAGCTGTTAGTTTCAAATAGGAAGCTGGGACTGCGGAGCAGCATTTCATAACCCAGATATTGTGTTAGTGTTGCATGATGCTGAGCTGAAGCATTTCACAGACCATGATTTTAAGGTGAGCCAGAAAATGCATGCTACTTCCTTTCTGTAGCATGCAGAAAGGAAGTAGCATGCTACAGAATGCATGCTACTTCTGTGTTGCTGTGGCTCGTGCACTTAAAAAATAGTTGCCTTAATGATGGATGACATTCCTTTACTTTCTACACCATTACTTCCCTAAATCACTGTACTGTACTATTTTTGGCATTTTCATTTGTAAAAATATATATTTGTTATCTTCTTATGTCTCGCTGTCACATATGTGACACATCATGTTTTGAGCGTGAGGACAAGTCATGTATAATACAAACCAGTCAGTAGCACAAATGTAAACAATGGAGGGAGGAGAGAGATTCAAGTTTTCTAGATGGATTGAACATCATCTTCCTGAAAGACATTGTTTCAGGAAGTCCATAAAAATGTTACAAATAGGGGAGACTAAAGATCAACCAAAGCCATCTACAATGTTGTGAGAAAGGCAGCACTGTCGTATCAAACTGCAATCAGACCACCATGCTGGCGGTTGTTAAATAAAAGCCAAGGTCAGCAGAAGACACCCAGAATCACAACATTTATTCCTCCAGGTTACGTCCCGGTTATCTCCGGGGTAAATCGTCCAAGACAGAAGCAGACATAGCCAACGTGAGCGCATTTCACAAGAGATCATCTTACACCACTTTGATACAGATGGGATTACACTTTGGCTAGAAGCCCAAACATCAATTGGGATGCTACTAGCATGAGATTACAAACGGGGAACCAAACAACACGAGACATCAGGAGAACCGACCATAAATCCCATCCGGAGGTCAGTGAGAATGAGAAACAATGAGTGGCTGGAGTGAATGGCCAGATGTGCAGCGGTGCTGCTGAGGAGCA